ACGTGAAAGATTCATTTGACCATTTTGTATTGTTGTTTGCCATTGTTTTTCATATGTTTGGCAATATGAATCTTAAAAAAAAGAATAAATTCATTATTCAGTTTTTTTTTATTTATTTTCTTTTACCTGAATAATTGGAATAGCAATCTGTTGAATGCTTTTTTTCCATATTGTTTTTCAATTGTATTCTTTACTATCTGACTATTAATTTCACTCGGATGTAAAACACTTTCAGTATATTCATTGCACAGACGAATAATTTGACCAATTTCAAACTATAGAACAATTCAAAAACTGATTCTTCTTTTTTTTATTAATTTAATTATACTCGTCTTGGATCTGTAGATTTTTTTATTTCGTCTTCTTTACGTTTCTTAAAATCATTTGATAATAATGGAGATATATCATCAGATACAATATACTATAAATCAAAAAAAAAAATATTTGAATAGACAAACAAAATTTGATGCCTTACACGATCACCATTTGCAATTAATTGTTGCCAAGATTCATTTTGCCGACGATTCTCTTGTTTTTCAGAATCCGGTGTACCACAAACAATGCTTGGTTGAAGTTTAAAATAATAACAGAGTGGCTAAAGAGATAAGAAAAAAAAAGAAAAGAATTAATATCGAATCTTAATGTGCAAGTGCTTCTTGTATAGAATTTTTCTTCCGAAAAGATCTATAGTTTAGTCATTTTAACCTTTTCAGTGGCATTGTTCGACGATGATAGTTAGAAACTTCTAAATTTGTATGATGATTGTTATTACCGAATGCTGATCTCGCAACAGATTTATGCTTCTTTGTCTGGGTGATTCGTGAAATATTAGCATTTCAGTTCTGTCGTCATAAAATGTTAATAACTACTGGTCTAAGAGAGATGAAAATTTTTCTTTTTATCAAAATCTAATTGCTACCTTTCTCTATCTACGATACAAATTTGAAGCTTCAGCTGTTAATAGTTACAGAAATACAACTAATTTATGATCACGAGCACTTTTGAAGTTCAAATTCTTCTGAAAAAATTCACAAATCAATGGAGGGATATTATTCTTACTTAAAAATAACATCAGATACTCTACGATGTCTTTAGATTATTTATTCAAAGTATGAGGATTAACTAGTGTATGGTTCGAGAAATCCATCAACATCTTTTGTGGTTAATATTCATTACAATCATGAAAAAAATTTAATAATAAAAATTTGGAGATAAAATATTCATTGATAAGATTTTGTTAAGAAAGCTTTATATTCGTCCTAACTATAAGTCATTTCAAATTATTTTGCATCTTTTTTTTTACTTTATAGATACTTGCAAGCAAAATTAATAACATATTCGTGATCAGACAACAAATTCTCCTTTCGTGAGCTATTCAAACATTTAAAAAACATATAGAATTCTGTGTGCTAGCACCAAAAGGATTAAACATTCTGAGTTTGTTGAAAATGTTGCATAAGATTTAGTGATTCTTTCATGTGTAATGTATACTACACAAATCAATAAGAAAAGAAATTTTTGTGCCTATATAGTATTTGGTTACTTACAAAAACTGCGGACACTCATGGTTACCTTGATTTTAATTGTGAAAGATATCGTTAGTTATCTTGATATTTATTTGTAAAATATTTTGTATAACTAAAAATCAAAGTAACCATGGGTGTCGGCAGTTTTTATAGGTATCCATATTATTTCTACTTAAGGAGATCGACTCATTCGAAAAGTTTCAGGACAGATAGATCTCGATGAGTTGAGCAATAATTTTCATAGAATGAAAATTTTCGAATGCTTTTCTATAGGAAAAACTGAGATCACAAGGACTAAAACCGACTACCTTGTCTCAGCTGCAATGTGTTTCACAAAGTTGAAAGTTTTTTTTTTGACAGATATTAGATGCTAATTAGGATGTTTACTTTTTATACCTGTTTGTAAATTCCAGTAAAAATCAGTCGTATATCATATTTTAAAACAAAAAAAAAGTAGACACCCTAAATACTTTCTAGTTGTTACAGTGCATTTCTATAACATATATCTCGATACTATCTATTCTGTTTTCTAGGATATTTTCGTTTCTCTTATTTCGTTTCTATCACTTTTCTTTGTCCTTGATTAACCTTTGTATTCTTTTCTATTTTTGTCCTTGATTAATCTTTGTATTCTTTTCTATTTTTGTCCTTGTTTTTTCATATGCGTATATACACGTTTGTTTTTTTTAAAGAATAAGCAGAGAGAGAAGAAAATACGTACATCTTTAATTGCGTTCGTTGCTTTTCGTGAGCGCGAACTCTAACACTAGTATTAGTAGGACAAAAAAACTTTCTGCTCGATCGGAAGTGTTGTGCTTGAGAAATGAGAGAAATTCTACACTTTTTTTGTTAGAAACTAATTCGTTAAGGAAAATGTTTCACATATTCTTTTTTGACCTATACACTTGTATCTATTAATTCTTGAAAAATGTCCGATCGATAGAGAAAACTTCGAAACCTAAATAAAGCAGAAAAAAAAGAGCAAAGATAAAAAATCCGAAAATTTTGTGTCAGACAAGGGCAGGTTCTTTCAACACTAATTGCTATAAAAATAGGATCCTTTATATAGCAAATTTCACCGGCTACGTGAGATACGAAAAATATTGAATGTTTTACTGAGAGTACGAAAAATATGTCTTGAAATATCATAGAACAATTTAGACGATCCTATATATATATTTAATGCAAGTAAGGCGAAATATCGCTAAGTAGAACAAAGCGATTGTATAAAAAAAAACTAATCTTGAACAT